CATCAGATCAAGCGAGGGCAGAGAGCAAGGGACACAACCAGAGCTACCTGCCCCACAGAAAGCTCACAGCAGGAGAGGACGATGAACACAGATCTGCGGTCAAGGGCTCTCTGCGAGAGGAGACACTGCCCCCTCCCAGCTGTCAGCAATCGATAACTAGCTCTTGGCTGTGAATGTTGGAAGCACAAAGGAGAAAAGAGACCGTGGGGCCCCAGGTCACTGGGACAGCCTGTTGTACAATCTTAGATTCCACCGTCCGAAAGCGTCAGTGTGCCGTGGGGAGGAAGTTGGACTTTTCTCCATTAATTGTACTCCCAGGCTTCCAGGTGGCTCTGCTTTCTGCTCACCTCCCTCCTCCCTCCTTCCACTTTCCCTGCTCCCCCGACCCCTTCACCACAGCAGTGAGGCACCTGCTCAGAGCCTACAGCTGACAGGGCCAGCAGAAAGGTCCCACGACCCAGAAGCTAAGTTCTCGCTTCTGCAGTGCATGTCACCAACAGAGCGACCACGAGCACTCGTGGAACAGGTGTGTGTCTTGGTGCTCCGGCCTCGTTGGAGGTGGAGCGTGGTGGAGACAGCCGAGAGGAGGGCGGGCGGGCTGAAAGATCAGTGGGGTGGAGTCGGGGAGAGTGGCTCTACGCCGTACACGAATGCAGAGCAGCGACTGGCAGGCAAGGGACTGGGCTAGGAAACTAGACAGTCCTCGACTTAACTCCGCTGCCACAAGCCAACCTCTCAGAGCCCCAGCTTCCTCGGGTATAAAATGGGCATAACAACAGGACCCTCCTCTTGGGGACTTTCTGTCACCTTAGTCCGCAAGGAGTGAGGAGCATCCTCTTGGTCATGATGGGTGTAGTGGTCCGGGGAGTCCGCTTGATTGTGAGTCTAAGTTTGGGTACAGAGAATGACTTGGGCATGTGTCCCATTTGACATCGGGTTACGACCCCAAGGTGCTTGGTAGTTGCTGGCTAGTCAGTCCCAACTCAGAAGGAGCCCGCCTTCAACAGAGAAACCCAGGTTGCTTGTGGATCTGATCACTGTGGCCCATGGGCTTTCACTGGTGGATTTTCAGAAGTAAATAATCAGGTCTTTCTTCCTCATCATGGTGGGTCTGGAGGGCCCTGCGAAACCTGTTCAGTCTCACACTGCCCTGTCCTGGGCCATCCTCACAGTGGGTCTCACGTTTGAATCCATTGTTGCAGCCACTGTGTCAACCCATCTTGTCCAGGGTCTTCCTCTTTCCACTGCCCCTCCACGCTACTTAGCATGATGTCCTTCAACAAGGACTGGTCTCTCCTGATCGTATGTCCGCCATCCTTGAAGTCTCACCATCCTTGAGTCTAAGGAGCATTCTGGCCGTTCTTCTTCCAAGACAGATCTGTGTGTTCTTTTTCTTTGTAGTCCATGGTACTTTCAAAATTCTTCACCAGCATGATAATATAAGATGCCCCATAGGGTGAGAGGAATCATGTAGGCATCCAAGTGGCTTTAGGGAATCAATGTGATCGTCATGTCAAGCTGCATACGTACCGTACAGTACAGCTTCTCAGAAACAGCTCTCTCTGGGAGGGGCCCTCCAATCTTTTCCTGAATATGGGAGGGACCTCCCTGCATTGGTGGCCGGGCAGGAGTTGGACTGGGGCAAGAGGCAATGCACCGTGTGTATCATGACTCAGCAGGAGCCAAGGGAGGGAGGAACTATTATTGTCTGTGAGGAATGCAATCCCTCCTCCCACAGGCAGCTGGCCGCCCTCCGCCACAAGTTACCCACCAGGCTGGTAAATGACTGACTAGGTTTAGAGTCAGGGCCTTCCACTTCCATGGAAAAGATTTTCTCTTTCCCCACCCTGTGCTGGCAAGCCTCCCCCCCCCCCCCCAACGGGGGAAAAATGTTTCCAGCTCCCGCTCTTTCCACCCCCATTTCAGAACCTTTGTTCAAGCTTCTAGGTAGCAAGCCCTCGCTGGGGCTCCTGGGGAAAGTCACCGCTTCAGGTCCAGGGATGTTTGTGCAGGGAGGAGGCGGCAGCAGTTTCAGGAGCGCCATTCATTACGGCAGTAATCTCCGTCAAACAGGTTCCTGCAGCTTCAAGGAGGCCCCTTTGTCCTATTGTTCCAGAGGGCCAGACAGGCCTCCCCACAATCTTGGAAGGGGGCAGGCCAGCAGGCGGGTGGGGAGGAAGTCCCCTGGAGTCTGGCCAGCAGGCTGCTAGGATGGCATTTTCACCTCTGTTCACACAACACAAGGGACCGATTCTGTTTGATGATAGCTTGTAACCCATGGGCAACTGCCCTCCCCTGCTCCTTTCTCCACCGGTCCAGGGCAGTTTGTGGGAAGCAGTTGGAACCACACTAGCAGCTTTTCACAAAGACTAGAATCCTTCAGGGGTTTCCCCAGCTCTGCAAGTCTGTCATGAAGCATCTGGAAGATCAGTGGATGTTGGAAAAGGTGAAGAAAAAACTCGGGGGTTAGAGGGTGCTCTCAGATCCTGTGGAACATACATGTAGGCTTGATACAAGGACTGCTATGCTAAGTCATGCTATAGCACGGATGAAACTTGAAAACATGCTACATGGAGGAAGCCAACCGCAAAAGGTCACACGTGGAATATGCAAATCCATAAACATGGAAGGTAGCTGAATGGCTGTCAGGGGCAGCTGGAATGGGGAGTGGGTGGGGAGGTTCTTTTGGGGGCGATGTAAATGCTCTGGAATTAGCTCATAGGGATGGCTGTAGCCTTTTTGAATGCCCTAAAAACCACTGGCTTCTACATTTTAAGGGGGTGATCTTTATTGTATCTAATTATGCCTCAATAAAAAATTATAGAAGAGAAAAATGTTGGGTTTGAATCTGTAAGGAACTTTGAAAGCTGCATAATACATTCCCAGCTTAAAAAGTAAATACATAAAAATGAAAAAGCTGGTGTGAGAGTAAAGGGTTTGGCTTAGTCTTGAGCCCGTGACCCATCCAATAGATAACAACCTGGCCACCTAGTCCTTCAAAAGATATTTATTGAGCACCTACTGTGTGTTAAAGGCACCCTGGTGACATAGTAGGGGACACAGAGGTCAGCAGTTTGAACGTAGCAGTGTCTCCAAGGGTTGTCTGTTTCCAAAAGGATTTTAAGTCTTGGAAACCCAAGGAGGCAGTTCTACACTGTCCTGTGGGGTGGCTCTCAGCTGGGTGCCACTCAATGGCAGTGACTATGTCAAAGCACCCTAATGATGAACACGACCATCTCTCCCTCCCTGATGGTCTCCCACGGTGTCCTCGTGGCAGGGTGTTTAATTCCTCTGAGCCCAGTTTCCTCACTGGTCCAATAGAGGTCATCTAGATTCTTTCCCTCTAGCTAAGAGAAGAAGTACAGCCGGAGTGTTCTTTAGAGGCAAGGATAGTGAGATTCCGTCTGGCATGCTTTGGCCATGTTGTCAGGAGAGACCAGGCAGGTTTGGTAAAGGACATCACATTTGGTAAAGCAGAGGGGCTGCCCAGGAGACTCGTTGACACAGTGGCTGCAACAATGGGCTCCATCAAGCCCGGGAGCGACTGCGAGGCTGGCGCAGTGCTTCATTCTGTTGTGCAGAAGGTCGCTGTGCAGCAAAACCAACTCCGTGGCACCTAACGGCAATGACAACAGCCAGAGGCCGAGGTCCTAGGAGATCCTTCTGCAGGGATTGGGGAGCGGCTCTCAAACCTGGTGATGAGTCAGATCTTGCCTGGGAGCTCTGTGAAATGACCGGCGCCCGAGACTCACTCTGGAAGGTTCTCGCTCCGTCGGCCTGCGGTGGCTCTGCCATGCTTGGGCACTGAAAAGTTTTGGAACCCAGGAACCTCATGGTCCAAAGCGTGGCTGGATGCTCACCCCTCCTGCATGAAGTCCCAGGCTTCCTCTGGCTGCATTCTGGTTTGACCCCATCCACTGCCTCTGGGTGGATGCCAGCTCATGGCGACTCGGTCGGACACAGCAGAACTGTCCCCCTGGTTGCCCGGGTGAACCATTGTTAGGAAAGCAGCCTGCCACGGCTTTCTCGTACAGAGCAACGGCCGGGGGCAAACCACCAACCCTGTGGTTGGCATGCAAGCACTTTAACCACGGCACCACGAAGGATGCTCCTGATGGCTCTAAACCTTCCCGGAGACCCTCGAGCCTCCTGGCTTCATGTTCACTCTGGGGACCAACATTGTCCACCGACAAACTTCACTTTCCCGGGGCTTTCGTCACCACTCATGGTGCCAAGGAATAGAAGGAGAAAGAAGTCGTCTGAGTTCCAGAAAGAAAAGAAAGTTCCTCGCCCATGTCTGCAGTCATCGGGTGCTTCAGAAACAAGCTGCTTCTGGGGGTGTCATGTTGGGTGGGTGTCCACTGTTCAGGTTCCGGAGCCCTGGAACTGTGTATGTTCCGCGTCAGAGGCTCCTTTGCTTCCGTTGCTGTCCAGTTGGAGCGAGGGGAGCGCTATCCGCTGACTCAAGGGTTCGCAACGGCTGGTGTTCCAGAAGTCGGTCACCAGGCCTTTCCTTCGAGGAGCCTCTGTGCAGACGCACCCTTCCAGCCCGGCAGTTGCTAGCTTATCGTGTAACCATTTGCACCACCCAGGGACTCCGGATCCAAAGGTAGACTTGTTAGTTTAAGATAAGGACTGCGTTTGGTTTGGCAAGACAACAAAATCGGCAAATTACCTTTTAATTTAGAAAAAACCGTTCACACGCTTGCGGGCCCAGGCACACACGCGCACATCCAGTAAGGCTGGGTGTTACTTGAGCACCCTGCCAGCACTCAGCACTTCTTCCTTGTTTGGGCCGCTGACTGGATTGTTTCGAGGTGCTGTGATTTCCACACCTCCTTTCCCTTAGCTGTCCTGCCCAACTGAAAGTGACTAGATGCTTCCCAGGCGACCACCAGGGGGTGCCCGATAGCCGGTGGCCACATAGGAAGAAAGGGGGAGGGGTGACAGGGGGGGGAGTGGGCTCTTGCTCCCCTGAGAGAGTGGAGGGGCTTTCCTACCTGGATCGCTCTTCTCTGCAAAGGCCACAATGTGGATCCCTTTCAGATCGTCTTCCTGTGGGAGAAACGAACCAAAGGTTACCCTCCCAGGTGGAGGAGAGTGCCAGGGTGGGGTGATGGGCACGGGGCCGGCTGGCGAGGGTGGAATGAAAGTGGGGGTGGGGAGCGGTGTGGCAGGGAGAGTGGACACCGAGGCACAGAGTCAGAGGCACATAATGGGGAAGGAAACGCTGCTGAGTGTGACTGGGGGGCTGAGGGGTGCATGGAGCTGCGCCGGGGAATTTGGATAAATGGATTTGCAAGGTAAATGTACAAGGACCACCGCGTGTCAGGCGTTAGGACTACATAGATCCCACTCCCTCGGGCCGCAGGGTCCAGGGAAGCAGCAGGAAAAGGCAGGAGAAAGAAGGTTGAGTCTGGCTTCTCGGGGTCTTCTAAGACCTGGAGCCAGGGAGCAGGGGCTGCAGGTGTCATCCAGCCGTTTGGGGAGCTCAGCACTGGCCCAAGGACCCGGGCTTTACGTTCTCCTGGTACCAGGTTCTGAACGCTGCCGGCTGATCCTGCAACCATTCCCAGAAGGACAGCAGACGGGAATCTTGGGGGTAAGTTAGGATGTGGGGTCAGTTTTGTCCGTACAGGAATCCGTTACAAGTCCACTTCTTGCTGAATACACAGAACCTCTGGGGGTCCTGGTGGCAGAGTGGGCTATGAGTTGGGCCGCTAACCTCAAGGTCAAAACTACCGACTGTTCCTCGGGAGAAAGATGAGGCTTTCTACTCCCATAAAGAGTTGTGGTCTTGAAGACTCACCAGGGCGGTTCTACCCTGTCCTATAGGGCCGCTGTGAGTTGGAATGGATCGATGGCAGTGAGTTTGGTTTGGGGTATGGGGCACGATGTGCCATTGTTGTTCAGCAATGGAATCCTCGCCTTCCACGAAGGAGTGGCCGCGGTTGCTGTTAGGTGCTGTGGAGCCAGTTCCGACTCATAGAGGCCCCATGCACAATGGGAGGAAACACTGCTGGTCCTGCACCATGCTCACAATTGTCCTCTTTGAGCCCACGGGAGCACCCACTGTGTCCCAGTCCCTGCCAAGGCACAGCTAGCGCCGTTCTGTCAGTGGAGGCTCACGAGTGGCTATGATGTGGCTCAGGTTTCAGTGGAGCTTCCAGATTAAGATGGAATGGGAAGAAAGGCCTGGAGATCAACTTCCAAAAACCAGCCAGCGAAAGCCTTCGGGATCACAGCCGTCTGGCTCTGCAATCCGTGGGGGAGCGCATGCAAGTCTCGTGGCATAGTTGGTGGGAGCCACCCAGGTTGGCAGCCAGCAACAGCAAGCGCATGTGGCACGCAGGGGACAGCTTGTGGCTGCAACCTCCATGGCACTCTCTCTAGCAGGCTTCATCTCTGGATGCCCGTCACGAGCACATTTGGAAATCGGTTTCAGAATAAAGAAGCCACGCTTGTTTGCTTGACATCCTTCCACCTTTAGACCCAAAGCTTGTAGAAGCAGGTGGGTCTGTAAGGGATTTCTGTGAGTGTGGGAGGCTCCTACCAAAACCAAAGGCATTGTCATCAAGTCAGTACTGATTCACAGTGGCCCTCAAAGTCAGGGTGGATCTGCCCCTGAGGCTTCTGAGACTCTACAGGAGTAGGAAACCTCATCTTTTTCCTACAGAGTGGCTAGGGATTTTGAACTGCTAACCTTGCAGTTAGCAGCCCGATGAGTAACCACTGTGCCACCAGGGTTCCTGCCCAGTGGGAGGCTCCTGGACAAGCCTAAAGCATGGTCCTGGAGAAAGCTGGGGGGTGAGGTAGGGGAAAGTGGGTACAGCTGTGGGTATTGAGGGAGGGAGGGCAGGACAAACCAGGCTAGAGGAGTATTTGGAACGCATGAGGCCACGCGTGCAGCATTTCCCGTTTCTCCCTCCTGGACCAGCTGGGAGATGCATGCACTTTGTGTCTCCAGGGCACTGATGCTGCGGGGAGAAGGTGGCAGTGAGCTTGGCGGGACTGTTACAGGCACCACGATCCTCAGGAGACTTGGGAAGGACGAAAGGTGAGACAGAGGCAGTGGGGACAAGCTGAGCAAACACTGATTTGTGGCTGACACGGGAGAGGGATTCATTCACCCAGCACTGTGACTGTCATCCCGCAACTATCCTATGGAGACAGAAAAAAAAGCCCACAAAACTCCAGGCTCAGCCTCCCATGGTCCCAGTTTCCATTTCAATTGATTTTAATGCTGGTGCAATTCTATCTAAATGCTAATTTCTTTTTTTAGCCTTTGAGTTTGGAAAGGACAAGACCTCCAAAAATTCTAAGAGAGATTAAATGGGAAATATTATTATTAAAAACAGGAGCGTGGGCATCGCCTTTGTCAGTCTCTGGGAAATTGGATTTTACATACATATGGGAGTGTGTGTGCGCCAGCGGCCGGTTTATTACGCAGATCAGGCTGCAAACAGAAGGGGCGTTGGAGGCCCCACTGTTTTACATTTGCTATTATCTCCAGACAGACCCTTCCGATCAGTTCTCATTAGGCTGCCCTGTGTCTGTCTCCTGCCATCAGTTGGAAGTGAGCCGTGCTAACTCTGCAAAGCAGGCTTCATTCCGGTGTGCGCACGTCTAGGACACATTTGGAAATTGGTTTCAGAATAAAGAATCCATATTTGTTTTCTGAGTCTGTCACTCTGTAGGGCTGCAATAACCCCAGTGTGGAGAGAGAGAGAGTGTGTGTACCCCAGGGAAAGAGTCTCTCTCTTTGTGTGTCTGGATGATCCAACCCACAAATATTTACTGACGACCCGCTAAGAAACCGGCGCTTGTTGGGCACCATATATTTTCAGGTAGGAAATGCAAGGAACAAGAGTTCACGGGCCAGCCCCCAAGTGGAGGCCACTCCGTCAGAATGCAAGGACCTCAGGTAAGGAAGAGCCGAGCTGAGGGCCACCGGACTGAGCCCCAGGGGGCTCTCTGAACTCCACAGATCACCCATGCGGTCTTCAGCGCACCTTACTTTGGAAATGACCTGGTGGGCTGCATGATTCTTGCCGTCTCAACTAAAGGTAAGTTCTCTGAGGGACGGGATTGCACCTTCAAAGTACAGTGATGATAATAATTGCCTCCCAAGACCTAAGTGCTTTGTAAACACATGATCTCAAAATCTGAAAGGAGTCTTATTTCCATTTATTGCTGAAAACATGGAAGGGACTAATCAAGGCCACAGAGTTAGTAAGGGTCAAAGCTGGCCATCAAACCAACTCTATCTGGCCCCAAACTCAGGTTCATTCTTCTTCACCCGCAGCCACTGCCATTGACATTGACTCAGGGCACCCCGATAGGACAGGGTGGTCTGACTCTGTGGGTTTCCGAGACGGCAACTCTTTATAGGAGTAGGCTCTTTACAGAGCCCCGTTTATCATCCGAGGAGTGGCCGGGAGTTTCCAACAGCTGACCTTGCAGCCCACTACACCACCAGGGCTCCTTCCTCACCAACAGCAGCAATTGCCACTCTCGCTCGGCGCGGTATGCAGAAGGTGTTGCATGCTGGCTCAGTGGCTCTGACTTCAGTTGAAATGTACTCTAAAGGTCTATATGCCAAGTGACCAAGCACTAACTCTCAAACCCTGGTGATTGCGGAGTCAATCGGGCATAGCTCCTGGAGTCGCCAAGCCCTTCGCACAACCGTCAGTCACAGTGAGGCACGTACTAGACTCGGGGATGCTTTCATTTGGTTTCAAGTTGCTTTCTTTACTCAGCCCCAAACTTCTAAGGACAGAGCAGCGACATTCCTGTTTAGAATTACGCTTAGCATGATGTAGTCGACTCTCAGTTCAACTCTCTGCCATCGGGTCAATGTTGCCTCAGAGCAACCCAATTGGACAGAGTAGACTTGCCCCTGTGGGGTTCTGAGACAGAATCTGTCTAAAGGATCAGAAAGCCTTGTCTTTCTACCACTAAGAGACTGGTGATTTTGAACTGCTGAACGTGTGGGCCATAGCCCAATGAGTAGCCCACTGCACCACCAGGTCTCCTACCTATTAATTATTAATGCTTATTGGGGTTTCATAGACACCACGTGATGACCAGCAACTTGCACATTCATTGAAGAAAAGTGGAGAAGTTCAAGAACACAAAGGAGAAGCGCAGCATCCCAGGGATCCAGCTCTGAGCGTGGCCACTGGTGCACATGGTACTCTGCTCCTTGCCGGCCTCGTGGAATGCTGAGGTGGACAAGCGAGCCCGAAGGAAGAGCCGCAGTTAGAATGGTGAGCACGACTGGAGAGGACAAAGAAAGAGTCCCTGCAAGCCTGTGTGCCTCTGGCCCGCCGGTCCTATGGAAGAGTTTGCTGTTATAACAGTCAGGGGATTCTTTTAGGCCTGGAATTGCTGACTCCCACCCTCTGTGGCTCTGCCTAGGCCCCGGCTGACTGCTTTCTGGGAGGGAGAAGTGGTTTGGAGAAAGGAGCCCCCAAGGGGAATGAAAGGTCAGGACTGGGCCTGGATTGTCTGCCCCACTTTTACATTCTTTGAATAGTCTGGTGGGGGCAGGGAGCTGTTCACTATGTCACATGGCTAATCTGACTAGGCATTGTCTTTGCCGTTTTCTATGGTGTGGTGCCTTAAGAAAGAGCATGACTGGGCATTAAGAAAGGCAAATAGTTCTTTGAGCCCTAGCTGCCTTCCTATCTTACGTAAATATTTGGCCATGTCTGGACGTGGATGCAGATAGAGTTAAGTGCCTTTACTGGTGAGGCCTTGACACCTGTGCTGGCAGCACCAGTGAGCACTCCTCATGCCGGGGAGTGGCTCACAGAGGACTGAGTCCTGCTGCTGCGTCTGAAGGCTTTGGAGAGGACCCAGAGGCCCTGTTCCATCTTCTCTCCCATGCGGGAGGCTTGCACACTTGGACTTGGGGGCTCATCAGGCCTGATTAGATCTCTTGGGGAGTCATGTGCCTATCCCAGAATCCGGTGTTAGGAAGGTATATACCATTCCAATTATCTTTTTCTCTCCTTAGTTAAATTCATTCCCTTCCTCAACCGTGTCCTAAT